CTAGACGTCAGTGGCAGGACGCGCGGTGACCGCCGCCGCCTCGCCGCGCGCCTATCGCCCGTCGGCTCCCCTCCCACTCCCACGCACCCGCGCCCGCCAGGCCGCCGGCTGTAGGGACGCGCCGAGTGACGTGGAGGGTCGAGCTAACGCCGGCGTGGGGCCAGAGGTGCTTGCATGGCCTGGCCTCGCCTGGCCACGCCAGGCCGTGCGCTAATGCCACATTAGGACAATCGTAATGACGCGCAGCCTGCGCTGGTTTACGCAGATTCCCAGGCCCTGCACGCTCGTCGCGCACATTGGCTGCACGGGCGGGTGGGTTGCAGCCACGCCACGCCCCGGAATGGGCTGCAAAGCCCCAATCATTTGGCTTTGAAATAGGCCTCGCCCCGCCCGCATTTTGAATGGCGTACACCAGCGGCACCTTCGTACGAGTTGTGTATATTCTTTTTTTCTTTTTAGTACGAATTCATGGAAACATACAACAATAAACTTTTGCGATCGTTCCAAAAATGCGAACCGGCGCAGGCCACTGACTCTGTCGCCCAGTGTTTTGCAGGTCTGTGGATTTCCCAGTTGTTTGTGTCTTCTGGGCTAACTGGGATGCGCCGCTACTAGGTCTTGGTGGTTAAACAACGTGTTAGCCGAAACGTTAGCCACTAAAACAGAGACGCGGCGCATCCGGGATAGCTCAGAAGACACAAACTCCACCGCAAAGCTACGCAACCATTCCCAATTAATTTATACGTAGTCTTCCGTGCGGTACACGTACGGCAAAGCCTATTTTCCATCTAATGATTTGTGCAAGGAAGAATCACACATACAAAATCAATACTCTCTTCTTCCGAATCTGAACAAAGAAGTACTTTGAAGATGTAATTTAACATTTCGTTGACTAGTCAACAATGTGAAATATAATTGCACGAAGGAAACACAGGTTCGAGGTCCTTCATAATTTGTTGCCCTTTGTCTGCCTTCCATGTAATTAAACGTTATATCGTGGTCCTAAATGGAGGTAACTTCTTTTACTTCGCTTGCCATTTCCTGAATTTTGTTGAAAAGACGAGAGAGAACGACGCGCGCGCGCGCTCATATTTTTAATGGAAGTCGGTGCAGTTGTTGGTGGCCGCAGTGAATTACGGAACAAGGCGTTGCGACTAGGGCGATGGGCGGTCGCTCGCCTCTTCGCACGTCCCGGGCCGGTTTACTGCGCTCGTAAAGGCGACGCCACGCGAGGTGGCATGGCGCGGTGTGGTGCTGTGTGTCACGCGTCCCCCCCCCCCACGCTCCGACCCACCGCGCCACATATTCCGCCGTCGTGCGATGTCCCAGGGTGCTGCCTCGTGCGGCCGGGCTCTCAGACGTCGCTGCCCACGCGACGCGACACACCGCGCGTGCTTCTTCGCCCGTGCTTCGTCCTCCCGCCCTGCTCGTTGCGTCGTGATCGCGCTCCTCGAAAAATCACACGTTGTGCCTTGTCCGCTTGTTGGACGTGCGTTTGTAGCTTTGTTGCCACCTGGCGCCCTTGTCTTCTGCAACTCCCGTCTTGCTCTGTCCTACTTCTCGTGATTGCACTCCCCGGTTTTCTCAGCTGTCGTTCACCGTAACCTTTTCGCATCTTGTGGCCGTTTTGTTTGCGTCCTGTCTTCCGCGGTATCGAAAACGTGGCGCGCAGTCTCGCATTTCGTCTTGCCTGGATTCGTTGTCCTCTTAGAGTTTGCACCTGTTCGCCGTCTGTCGCTCGTGCGCGCCTGTTCCTCTGCGAGCCACCCCTCGGTGTACCTGGGCGACCGCACAACCATCTGCGGCGCCCCGCCCCCGGCCCTCCGCGTCGGCGTCGCGTTTTACGCCCGGCGCCGCCGTCGTTTTACGAGTTGTAATCGTGCGCGTCTTCCCGCCCCGCGCCCGCCTCTTCCAGCAGAACTGAGCAGGGAAGGGCAGGCCGGCGCCGCCCGGGGCGGGCCGCTTGCTCCCGGCTGATTGCCATGGCTGCAGGATCCCTTTCGCAAGCCACATTCGCCATGTTGCGGTCGTGTCTTTCGATTAAAGGATCTTGGGTAGCCTCGCTTTCTCGCTCTTTGAAGGGAAACGGTTGCGAGAAACTGGCGCGAGACGCTTTTTCTTGTCGGACGAGCCATTATTCTGGCTATCTGTAGCACCTACAGTTTCATTTTCCAAAGAATATTCTGGTACTCGTCAGTAACGTGTGTATGACACGCTAAATCTTGGACATGGTAGTATTGTTATTTGACGGTCACGTTGCACAGACGCATCGTTTGTAAAATGCCGCTGCGTTGTCTGTCCTACGCGAACGCAGGTGGCTCCATTTTTTCCAATACTGGTAAACCGCTTGGTGGCTGGGATTAGATTCGTGTTGTGAAAATGAGTGGGCAAATTTTTGTAAATGAGAATCGTGGTCGGTTACGTATAAGCCTTTTTTTATGCCGCAATACTGTTTTTTTTGGTGTATTTTTCGATTTCGTGTTAATATCAAACAAACGTACTCTGTAAAGTGACCACGAATGCTTTCACCTTTTCGAACTGTACACTGCAGAGGTGAAGTATTTTATCCGTTATTAATACATCATTCATCTCTTTCCAAGCGGTGAAGTTTGTCTTTTATATCGGTATTGAATATCGATCACTTTGAAAATTGTATGTCGCTATGGTTCGTTTAATTCACCCTTTAAAGCCTGAAAATCTTCGCTAGCAAATACCTACAAAAGAGGTACTTCTGAGATGTTTGGATCATTAATATTCACGTGTTTTGTTATTAGTCGGTTTTCCCTCCCAGTTGCTCCGGCGTTTGCATTGTTTATTCATTTATTCATCTGGCGTTGGAAGCATCTAATTTTCTGGATGTTTACGGTAGCGGCGAGGCGTTAGTTTTTGCGATAACCTTTTCGGAATCTTAATGAATGTCTACACCTGCGCTATTTTAACGAGTGATGCGGCACTCGTAGACAGACGGTTCCAATAGGAGTCTCCCGCAAGCGTTATATTAATCCTATGTTTATGCGTGTATTTATATATATATATATATATATATATATATATATATATATATATATATATATATAAAATACACGTGTGTGTGTACGTAGTGTATTGCGTAATTCAATTGTTTTTCAATCTAATAGAGCTCCATATATGTTTAAGTATGTTTTTTTCCGTAGCGTAGTCCATAACTTTAATGGCACAGTTACATAGTGTAGTTCAGTGTTATATTTCATGTTGCTTTCATGTGAAATAAATATTCAGTAAAGAGCGAAAGACACCTATAGTGCTGGGATCCCGGGTATTAAGAGGAGGTTCGAACTTTGCTGTACCTCATCGGAAAGAATGGAGTGAGTGTTGTTTTATTATCGGTGTTTAACGTAATAGAGGAGTAACTCATGTTGCTCCAAGCCACTAGTCGACATTCATTGTCACGTTTATCGTAAAGAGTTAAAGAATATCTCAAAAATTGTCTTACTATTCCCGCATTTTCAGAAAAGAGGTGAAGCGAATCTTTTAAAAATAAACTGTTTCAAAATAAAATTCGTGTATTATAAATCAATAACCCTTTTAAAACCGTAGTTTGTTGAAACTGAAAAAGAAAGTGTAAAAAAGATTTTCTGACTAAATTTGAACTATTTCCCTGAATAGTTAATTTTTTTGTGAAGTCACCATATTGTCGTTATATGTCGTTAAATATTTTTGTTGTTGGGTGCTTTTGAGTGCGGCAGTCGTAGCGTTAGCGGCGCGTAATTCGTCTCTTGCGGGTCGTCGCTCGGCGACCTGCTATCCGCTGCCTTCGACTGTCGCCGCGCCCAAGGTACTTAATGGAGCGGTAAGCCCGCGTATCTCCTCCTCGCGCCCGCGTCCGTTGTCATAGAGACGCTGCGGTGCAGCATGTCGCCCCTCGCCGCCTTAACACTTTGTTCAGTAAACAAGGATCCCGTCATCGCGCGAGATTAATGTCTTGGGGCTGTCTTCGGGAAGCCCTACTTACATTCCGTCGCGCCGCTAATTCCCTTGGCGGCGGGCGGAGCGGGATTGAACTACGTAAACAGCTTGCGCTGGCGGGGAGGGAAGAAATGGTCTATTTGCAGGCAAGTGATAAAGGAATTGTTTCATCCAGGGGATCTGCGGGTGAATCACTTGGTGTGCAGCTTGAAGGAGACGCCGGAGGATTTATAAATGAAACTAAAGCAGGCGCAGTCTGTTTCAGCATTATACGGAACATCCACCTACTCGTTTTCGCTTAAAAAAAACAAACAGTAGTAATGTGTGTTTGTATGTCCGTTAGTGTAGTATGTGTATGTATGTAGTTAGGGATGACAAAGCCTGAGATTCGTGACATACCATACATATCATATACCAAATAACGTACATACTTATGGTTTAAATTGTTCAAAATATTGAGTAAATATGTATTAAAAGTGAAATAAAACTATGGAAATATTGAAAATAAAGTATAAATCAAATATTCATTAAAAATAATACAGAAAGAACTCTGTGGTAAGATTATCTGTAGATCACGATTTAATAAAGTACTAAAATAAATTGAACTAAATTGTGTTGCAGATAGTTTCTTAATACTTATCAAATAATTAGACAATTTATAAAGCAGTTTTTTAAGCGTTCAGATGTAAAACTTCTCTGTTTATCTCGTAATTTTGCTTTGAACTGGCTAAAATGCTGCTCAACATCAGAAGTAGTAATGGGAGTCTATGTTGATTCTTGGAAAATATTGTGGAATGAAATTCTAACCTACCTCCAAATCCAATTCACCACTTTTAAATGCAGTAAAAACCAAAAGTAATTTTTCCGACCAAAAATTATTTATATTTTAATATGGAACGTTTTGCGAATTAGACATGTGTATTCTTTAAACGTGAAAGTGTGTAGCCCATATGTATAATGAACTCTTTTCAATGCACGTCCAAAGTGTCATTGGTAAGCATACGTGGAACGTTAGAGAGTAATGGAAATGCTATGTGTGTTGCAGTACGCGCAGGAGACGCAGCACGAGAAGATCCTGCGCGGGCTGGCGGTGGGCGTGGCGCTGACGATGTACGGCCGCCTGGAGGAGGCCGACCCGCTCGTGGCCACCCTCTGCCAGGACAAGGACCCCATCCTGCGCCGATCGGGCATGTACACGCTGGCCATGGCCTACTGCGGCACCGGCAACAACCAGGCCATCCGCCGCCTGCTGCACGTCGCCGTAAGTACCTTGCTCGAGAATCATGGAAATGCGTCAAAAATAAGCACGTAATTGGTTGCAAACATTACGAAACAGAATAGAACATTCGAAATGCCTTGATATTGCAGACGTAGTTCTGATAGACTGTCCTTACGTCTGGTCACGTTGTGATGCCATAGCGTTTGTGATCGGTCTTGACAGGGCCGCAGCGATTCTTTGGATATGTATCTAAGGAAGTGGAGTTGGTATTGCAGCCCTGTTTATTGAGGAGGAGGGGGGGGGGCGGATGTTTTGCTTGCGGTCGCAAGATGTAATTTTCGGTCGGTTTGCACCCACCGCCCTTCTCTGCCGCTGGGCTGGGCGGGGCTGGCAGGCGTTATTCGTCGCGCTCCCCAGCCGCCGCATGCGCGGGTGTTTATGCAGGTGCAATTGCCGCACTCCTACCCCCCCCCCCCCCCCCCCCGCACGCAGTTAAACGCGCCGCTTCATAACGGCCGGGCGTTTGCGGTAGCACGGCGTCTCGTAAGCCCTCCATCAGAGCTCTCCATACTTTTCCAAGGCAAGGGCCTTACCTGACTAATGCTGCTTGCCACAGCGATTGAATAACTCGCTTATTGAGTATCTCTAAGTTTGAAATAAAAATGAAGTGATAGTAGAACATAAATAAAGTATATCATTTTGTTTATGGAGGGTGTTTATGTGTCAGGTGCCCACAGTTTTATTCATTAAAGACGAATTCAACAACTTTAAAGTTCATTTTAAAGGAAAATTTAAAGTAAATTTTTAAAAGGAAGTATTAGTTTATTTATATGAGATACGATTCCTGAGTCGCGCCCGAATGAATTTCCTCACAAAATCTTGAAACCAAATAAGGAATCATCGCGGATGTTATATAAATGATCTATGATTAATTATTCTTGCTGTGTATATACTTCGGCCCCATTCTCCGATGCGCCGTCTCTCTCCTTCCTCCAACCAGACTACCCTTCAGGAGAGCCTTCTGTGCAAGCAGCGCGGGTCGGATTCGGCGCGCGCCCGTTGTTTTCGAGGTCCCTGTTCGATATCGTCTCCTGGCTCAGCGCGTGCAATGTTCTCTCCGCGCGTGTTGCTAGTGCGTCGTAACGTTCCGCGGCGTTTCGGCAAGGAGGAGGGGCCGAGGGACCAGGCGAGAAAGAGGCTAAGAAAAAGTCTCCACGGCGCCGCAGTGGAAAGAGGCAGTAGAAGGCAATTTAGCAGTAGTTAAAGTGGAGTAAACGACACATGAAACGCGCGTGCCGTGTTCGCTGCAGCGAGATTAACTGGCTTGGTAGTTTCAAGGGCGTTCATTTTCTTGGCGTGACGTGAGATGGGCCAGGGAAGAAGTGGTGTTTTATTCATGTTGATGGGTTCATTCCTTCATTTGCGTGATCACCCGTTTGCATATTGATGCCCTCCCCGTTCCCGTGTATTGTTTCCTTCCGCATCTCTTCCGCTCCCTCGCGTTTACCTAGCACCGGCGCCGCGTGTCCTTGCTTGTCGCTTGGTGCACCGTCTTGTGTGCCCACCTTAGGCGCCTCGTCTCGCCTTGCTGCTGCTTGCGCCGGCACGGGAGCTGGTTTTCACCGCGCGGAAGGCGGCAATGAATATTCATTCTCCCGCGACTGGTTCTCTCCCCTCCACCTTCCCCTTTCCCTGTCGCCCCCATCCCCTCCTCGCTTCTTCCCCTTGGGTGCCGCACAACCGCCGAACGAAATGTACGGCGCCCCCGGGCCAGTCGAGGCCGGGCCGGGCCGGGCTGAGCCGAGCCGTGCCTCTGTTTCCAAGGCGCTGCCTAATCTTTCGCCAAACAAGCAATTCCCTTGCTAGCCATCCCTCTGTCGATTACGCTTGCGTTCAAAATAAGTCGACACACTACTTCACTGCATGAACGTCGCTGCCAACGTCAATTTGAATGTTCCTATGTTTCTTCCGCGAAGGGGTTTTCTTTATTCAAAAGATCTCTTCAGAATAAAGGCGATCGGTGTGTGGTTCCCGTATTGCTAGTAAATGAGAAATTGTACTGGTCCCTGCCATTTTGCTGGTAAGTGGAGGAGGGGGGTATCGCCACGACGCTAGTGAGGATTGCGAAGCGTCTCGCCCCCCCCCCNCCCCCCCCCCCCCATCGGCGCATTCCTCGTGTCCTCGCGCCGGGGAATGCGGTCCGGCCTCGCAGGCGCCGCGCACCTTGTCCTCCGGAGTCGCGCCGGAATGCCTCCGCCCCCGCCCTCGCCCTTTAATTCGACCGGGCTGAATGGCCGCTTCTTGAAATTGCCGCCGCGCAGCCTCCATACGCCCGTGCCTCATAGGGCGGAGAATACGAGAAGCGAGCGGCCTCTTGGTCATTTTGCAGAGGGATGTTATGTGGGGCGCCGGCTTGGTGCTGACACCCCTGCGGGCGCGTTCAGACCCGACTGCGGGCGGTGGATTTTCAGGGAGTCAGAAACCTTCGGTTGCCACGACACGTTCGTGTCATGTAAAAGGACATTACGTTGCCCGGTAAAATTAAATCCACCAACAATTCACGCCTTAATCAAATATTTTTTACAGATACGTTATGGTTGGTTATTGCCTTCGTTACGTAGTTTGATATACAGGGCATAACGTACCTGCATCGAGAGAATTCTAGTTATGAAATATAAAAACAGTTGAATGGTGCTACGTGTTCTACTAGAGAAAATTATGAAAAAACAAATGGATCCAACTTAACAACTAGTTAATTAGTAAATAAGTTAATCGGAATCATTAAAATTACTTAAAAAATATAATCATTTTTGTAGCACGGGCGTTAACTAGTTATATTAATCGAGCGGCGACACATTTTGTTCGATTGATCATGAGAACCCTTACAACGCTATATTTAATAGTAATAACCATTTTTTGGTATTTTTTCGCCCGGACGTTATTTTGCAAACACATCTATCTTTTTTATTAGTTTTTCCCGACGTTTTATAAATATGGACATCGCATCTTTCTCCTTATTCAAATTTCTATTAAAACTCTGTTTTCTCCTGTGTCAATGTTTAGTTGTTCGATAATTGCAGGCTGTAATCTTCTCTCGGAGAACATTTTGTATTAAACTTGCGCGCTTGTTCGCTTGCGGTTACATAGCATTTGCGGAGCCTGTGTGCCGTAGTGGAAACTTCCCCAGTTGAGGCTTGCTGCAGGAGGCGGCTCGAGTCGGTTCATCGTGGAAGACATCGCCAGCGAAAGCTTGTCAGCGTTCCGCGCAACTGTAATCATAAAGTTGAAGATTTTCAAATTCCCGGAACGTGATCAGAAGGAATTTTGAAGACCAAAGGAAATGCGAATATGTTGAAAAGAAAGTTATCACATGAAACAACGGACTTTCACAGCGCTCCGCTATTTGGATACCGCCAAAGTGCTTTATTTCAATTTTAAATTGTAAAAATTTTATTTTCTAAATATTAAAATCCTTTCTTTTGAAGTACGAAAGAAACATGCTCTGCTATTGTATACCAAATCGTTTTGGCGTCATGAGTGTCCGAAAGTAGCTGTGAAATGATGAGGGGCAAAGGCAAAGACAGAAGAGCAACTTATGGACCAGGTTTGTGAGCGTGAACAAACGTTGCCAATATATTTTTTTTTTCAGAACTACGTAGGTTTGTCAGGGCTTTTTCGTGTTTCTATCACTCTACTTGGTTGCTATACACGCGTTTTTAGGTTCCGTTTGCTTTGTGTTCGAATGCTAGAAGGGAATTAGAGGATGGAGGCCAAAGGCTGCAGCGCCGCGAGAGGGGGGGGGGGACATCCCTCCGTTACAGAATCCGCCGCGGATTAAACACTGCCAATCCGCTGCCTCGTAGATCTGGACGTGCTCATAAGGTAACACATAACGCGAAATTTCCGCGTAGGGTGCGGATCTTCCGCGCCGGGCTGTGGGACCCTTTAAAGCGAACCTCAAGCTCCTCCCCCATGAAGTGTCACATGCGCCGCATCTTGACGCCGCCGCCTCGAGAAAGAGATGGTCGGGACGATACCAGCGGAGCGACCTACGCCCTTCCGAGTGTTGGTTCTGCGGTAGGGGATCGGGGCGATCGATGGAAGTTGCCGTGGGAAAAATTAAATGAAATTTTTTAGTATCACCGTCTGCGTGAAATGAGGAATTTATGAAAAGGAAACATTATTATTGTACAATGGTGATCGATGCGTGAAATAATAGATTCTCGGCGGGGCGGGGATGTAACCGTGGCCTGGTTTTGACTCGCGTGGCGTGGGGCGGAGCGCTGCCGAAGTGCGCTTTCATCTGGGAACGTTAGCGACTTTATTAAAAAAAAGTAGTCGCCGTTGTGTTGCCCAGCGGATATCGGGAGCTTGCTTGAATTGCAAATTCGTTTGCGGCATGCACGTGTAGATACTGCGAGCATTGTTTTTTTATATATAAAAAAAATCTTGGCGTGGTCGAAACGAATTGTTTCTCCTGCCTCTGCTAGGGTCCACGCCCACTTTAATCTCTCTCCGCGCTCTTCCTACTCGCGCCTGACACGCGTCTGTTGGGGGCCAACTCATGAACACGCGCAACTCGATTGTACACGGTTGATTGCTTTCTTTCTTTCTTTCTCTTTCTTTTCCTCCCCTCTCAATGTTGACCTGTCTTCGGGCGCGACTTCCGCCGCATTTTGCCCGCGAGCACATTCTCTTCCGTTGCCGGGCGAGTCTCCCCGCAGCCGTGGCCGTCGAGTGCGCGGATTTGGCGTCTCGTGCGGGGCGGAAACTTGAAAAGCGCGCGGCGGAAGTTTATCTGGTCGTGAGAGAATATTCGAGGGATCCTTTCCTTGCGCTACCGAGCGAACATTCTTTCGAAAAGTCCCTCCAGATGGACGCCACTCTGCTTCGGGCTGGAAATGTACGTAGTTACTGCATTGTTCTGCATTTCGCTCAGTAGCATGTAAATGATGTAGCGATTTGATTCGTGTAGGCGTTAATTAAAATGCAAAACGATGTGCGGTAGAAAGAGAAAAACAGCAGAGCTGCGCGCCGCGTGGCGCCCTCCATTATTTTAAAGCGCCCTATCGGTGGTTGCGTGGGTGTTGCGAAGGAAGCCGCAGAGCGCGGGGCTGCCCCCGCAGTTCCATTTCGGGGGGAAAAAAGCACAAGAGGGGCTGCGCTAATTTTCCTATAAATAAACTGTCGGGACAGTTCGGAGAGAAAGTGTACGCGGGGAGAACGCGTATGTTTGGACGGAGCTGTGGGCAGGGATGGGATGGAAGGGGGCGGGGCGGGATGGGCAAAATGGCGAATGATCTCTTTACTTTTCAATCAAGCGAAAGGCGGCACACGTCGCGTATCTTCGTTGCACCTCGTCACCGTGAATGCGAATGTGGACGCGGGCGCCCTAATCCCATAAAACGTGGCCCGCCAGTGCTGCCGCTCGGCGCCTTGAGGACGCGTCGATCCATCGAGATTAAATCGATTGACGACGACGACGACGACGACACGCGGCCGACACAGCGAAGGGCCGGCAGACATCGCCCTCTGGAGTTCATTTTTCCCTTTCTACTTTCTATTTTTCGCTCTCTCTCTCGCTCGCTCCCGCCCTCTCTCCCTCCGTTGTCGCTCTCTGTTGCTCTCGCTTGCTCCCGCCGGATTAGGGCTCAAATGCGATTCCGAAAGCGCAAACAAAAGGATTATGCATTGTACGCGGGCGGTATTATAATAGAAATGAAACAGAGGAGCGTGACGATTGAAGGGATAGCCGCGGCGCGACGCGCTTCGGCCGAGCGGGACAAAGGGTGTCCAGAACGGTGTCACCGCATAGCAACGTGTGCGCGCGCGAGCGTCAAGTGTGGGGAGCCGAACATGTTTTGCAAAAAGTGAAAGCAAAAAATAACGACACTTCCGGTGACGTGAAGTCGTTTGCTGTACAGAAGAAAATGTACAATTTCAAAGGAAAGTGGGGTATAAATAACCGTGTAAAGACGGATGACTTCTGCAGGTGGTATAACAATTCCGCGTCTAATTTTCTTCGAAATTTCAGGATGAATGAATTAATTTGGGAAAACGTACTCGTTGCTATCTTCTCGCTTGCTCGATGCTTCGTGCAATTGTACGCAGAGTGGTGTTCGCTGGCGCTGAAATCGAAATGACCCGCGGGTGCGTCACACACGCTGTTGCTTGCGCGTGGCTGGGGCAGATCTCCGCTGCTTGGGAAGGGCTTTCGAGTCGGTGGTGCAGCCCGGTCTGCCGCCGGCATTTGGTGACCCCAAACATCCATTGCGATGGAAGCCTCTTCCAGTGCGACGTGGCGCGATGGAACAATGATTTATGCCCTTACGGGGGTAGCGTTTCCTTGTCCCATTTCCCATGTGGGTGAGGGGCAAAGCTTGCGTTCGAGACTCGTGATGGAGTTCGTTGTATTTTCTTCTACCCGTCGCTCTGTGGGAATATAAATAATTCCGCGAACGCCCCGTCGAAGTTGTATTCTCGCTTAGAATCGTGACCGTTCTGAAGGCTGTCGACTTTCTTTTTCTTTCTTTTTTTCCTTCGTCATGACCAGCATTCATTTTTCAGACTATTTTGACTGGAATGAAGATGTAAAGCGTTTCTAAAATTGACCGAAAATGAAATGTTTTAATTTGTATTATGGAAGAAGTCGAAATACCTTCGTTGTCTATTTCTAGCCTAACAATATTCCGCATAAGCTGAGGAAACATAACATCAAATCCATAATCTGATGTTAGTCTCGATGAAGAGTACAATATAGTATTTTACGCAAGTAATAATTTAGTTATAGCTTCTCACATTGTGATAGTGTGCAGCAGGGAATAAATATATTTGTTTTCTTCCAGGTTTCTGATGTCAACGATGATGTGAGGAGAGCTGCCGTGACTGGCATAGGATTCCTGCTGTTCAGGTAAGAATAACTCCAGCTATATTTGATATAAGAAACTTTTTACAAAATCTTCAGGTCATTACAGCTGTTGTTTCTATTCTCTTATTTACTAGTTGCTAAATCATTTATCGAGCTAGTTGATGTCCATGGGGAGAAGAGAGGTTTGGTTTAATTTTTCGCGTCCCTGTCAAATGCGCGCACAGGAAAAAAAAGTGCAGTCGAAGAAGTTCCACATTGGGAAAAGATATTTTGGTGATGCTTTTTATTTCGGGGGAGGATTTTCTATTTCGAACAAAAATACTCATAGAGGATGATTGCAAAGTGCTCTTCCTGATGACTGATGCGGTTTTCCATGATCAGAACGCGTCAACGAGCTCGTTGCTTGCGGTAGAGTCGGCTTCGGATCACCGCCCCCGCCCTCTTCACCGCTCGCCCATATGTCGCGCACGCCGCCGCCAAGCGCGCCTCGTTTGCGTGCGTCGGGTCGTGATCGTGCATGGCGCCGCGTGCGCGAGCGATTGCAAGCGGCGTGCGCGGATTGCGTGACGCTTGGCTCACGGTGCTCGGCAGCGCTCGGGTTTGATTTAAAGCGTGTGACAGTTGGCTCTGGACTCCGAATTGTGTTTTCATAAGAAGTAATAAAACTCGAAAATTATCGTGTTGCTCGCTGCAGGTGGCGAAAACTATTAATAAAATAACGTTTTGCCTGTTTTGCTGTGTGAGTATATGGTTTGTGTTAATTGGGACGCATCTTGTAATTAAAGTGCTGCGAATAAAATGAAAAGCCGTAGCGCACCAAAAAAAATGTTGGTTGCGAAAGGGGGCGCTATGCAGTCGGTTGCGTGCCATTTATAGTCATCTTCCAATTGCGTGTAAAGCTGTTGAATGTAAATTGCTAATGAAATCAAAGTCGTGGGAATTGTGCGGACTGACTGTCAAGCATGTCAGTGTATTTTTGAGCCGTTCATGCCATTTATTTCGTGTTTAGTAGCAAGGATCAGATCTTTGCATTGTACGTTTATTGAGAGCACATAATGATGAAGAAGCCTTAATCTTTCCGCGTGTGGCCGCGCGCGCGAGGCGTTGGGCGTGGGCGTGGCCAGGTGAGCCTTGGCGCAAGGGGGAAGGCGGGCGACGCCCTGCCGCTCCGGAAACGAACGAGAAGGGGGGAGGGAGAGCCCCCACCTCGCGTGAAGCGCAGAAGTTTTCCGCGAAGAAAGGGTTTTGATTACAATTCCAACTAGCGTGCTCGTTTATCTTCATTAGTCGCGATGTTTTATGTCACCGCCTCTGCCCACCTTCCTGCAAAGGCTTCTCCTCAGTCGTTGAGGCCTTGCCATCGAAATGGCAATACGTATCGTTCTGTCTCGCCATTTAGCAATTTCTTAGCCAATGTTTGCAAAATATTACAGAAAACAGATGTTTCTGTTTCTCGAACATCGTTGAAAGTTTCTTGTTTTACGTAAGTAATGGTATGTCGAATTCTGTGTAAATATGTCTAGACTCTCCACATGAATAAAACTGGGGATAAAACACCGGTCTCTCAGGTTAGAAAATTCTCCAATTTTCTTGTTTCCCAGTGGGACAGGTAATTTACTTTGGGTTTGGGGCAAATGTGTTCATACTATAACGTCATTGCCTTGAGAAATCCACTTGTTCGCGGATAACATATTCCGGTATAGTGTATACAGCGAGTTAAATATAGTCCAAAGAGGCATTTAGTTTGTTGCAGCAATGTGAAAATTTATTATGTTACTAAACTCACAATTCTGTTAATGAGGAATCTATTTAATGTCTTTCATACCAACGTATCTTGTGCATACAGACCCGTTCCATATATGCGATTGTCGTTGTGAGTTACATACTTTTTTCTTTGTGGCCCCTATTCTCCAAGTACTTTAAAAACGTGTAATTTAGTAGTTCATATAAAAGTGTTTTGATTTTTTAAAAGAATAACCTCCGTTTGACACAGTGTTAGTTGAGCCCCGAGTTCTCTCCCGCGTTCTCCCTCTGAGCTTCCTCGCGCGTCCTCGGAGGCATCCTCCGGGGTAGTGCGTGGGCTCGCGTCCCTTCTCTGCGCTCGCCCACCGCCCGTCGACCGACGTCCGATGACGTATCTTATTCCCCCCACCGTACCCCACCCGCCTCCACCGTCGTCCTGCGATCCCGACCGGCCGCGTGTGCGGCGACCGCCAGTGAAATATCGTTCCTATGACATATTTAGGCGCCGTCCCCCGTCCCCCCCCCCCCCTGCGGCAGATTTATGCGGCGGCAAATCGAAAGACAATTGCGCGCCGTCTATTCGCGGCCGCCGCAGGTTTAATCAGAGTGAAGTGGGGTCGGCTGAGTTATCGACTGGCGGCCAAGATTGTGCTTTTCGATTTCGTTTTGTTGTATCCTGTCTCGCCTCGCCTCGCGCCGCTCCCCGCTTGGAGGAGAGACCCCCCGGGGCAGCGCCGCGCCGCAGACATGATTACTTCTGTTCCGCTGTCTTCGATGCCTCCTGCTGGAGTTCTTTGCCCGCGTCTGACAGCCACTGGAGGCGCCGCTCCCACCGTCGTTAATGTTGGTGGCATCGGCGGAGCAGCAACGTGGCAGTGAGGCTACGACGGTGCTGCTCGGATCGTGTGTGGTATCAAACAAGGAAACGTTTTGAAGGTTAAATAGAATCTACTCGTTGTAGTAAATGACGTAACATTTACTTCTAAAACGAGGTACTGTGGGTCTATAAAGTAAATACGATTTGAGTGCCTTTACGGAAAAATCAGATAATAATTTAAATGACAATTAAAAATCAAGCACGTTTGGAGGATAAAGGAAAAAACTTAAATTTCAGGATTTGATCACCGTTTTCCTCTTGCTTAGGATTTTTGGTTCGCGCGTGGAATCGGAGCGTGAAATGACGTTCTTCCTGTACCCTTGCTCTCCGGTTCCATCTCCGTGTCTGGGACTCGCTTTCCGCCCAACATCGCTCATCGCCCTGCTCGCTGCCTCCGTCGGACCGCCCCCTGCCCCCCGCCCCCGTCGCGCGAAAAGTGGCGCACCTTCCCCTGGCGCCGGCGGCCCTGGAAATTGGAGCATCTCGGCGTTATTAAATTACTGTAATGCCCACGCTGCCTCGCCCCCTGCCCGCCCCCGCAGCTGGCGCTCGATGGCTGCCCGGCCTTCCACGCACCCCGTCCTCCCGCCTTCCCCTCTCCCAAACTCCCCGCGCGTCGCTTCCGCGAATTTAACGTCTGCGTTCGAATTCTTTCTCTTCCGGCTCAAAGGGGAATTATTATTTTCTGCTTTGTGGCGCAAGTTTTGGGAATATCCCCCCCCCCCCGGGGGCCGCTCCCGATTTCGGCAGCCGGCGTCTTGAACAGTTGCCGCGAGTTTTCAGGCAGAGCCGAGAAACAAGAAGTGGAGGGAGTTGAGAAAGGCGCTCCGCCGTTCCTTGCTCGAGTTCGTGTACGTTTTTGCTGTACCCGCCTAGGAACCTCTATTTCGCCTTTTTTCCGTGATGACTCGTCTCTTGTCTCGTTTGGTGCGTGATAATTTACTATCAATCATTTAGTGAAGGTTTAGCCTTCAGCAAGTCAATTTTTAATGTAAAACGATCCGTTGTGCTGTTTTTAGCTCGTGTGCGTGAGGATGCATCCATGAAGAATATTCGTTTTTTGATTGGTTTTATTTTTTGCCGCGCCACGTGACACCTATTTCGAATTATAATTTTGGTAATTTATGGAGATTTCACGCTTTTTTTTTTTTTTTACCTTTTTGAGTGTGTGAAAGCGTTTAATTAAAGCGAATTGCGCCTGCGAGAGGGCGTGATGCGTCTAACGTGAATACCCTGATAATGGGGACGACGAAGATGAATGGTGGGCGATCGTTGTGCATTCCAAATTTGCCCTGACACTGTGCACATCCTAGAGACAAACAAGGCTGTAATTTGTCCTGCGGTGCCGGCGTTTTTGGAACTTTCCCGCGATTCTGTGTTTTTACGACTCGTAGATTTCAGAGATTCACATATTGATTACGTTACAGTGTTGTAAATTGTTATCTAATAGCAATTTCAAACGTATCTGCTCAACCAACCAAAATAATAACGTCCCGCGTTTCAATTACTATCCATTTGTGTTCAGTTGATGAACATGCAGAATGAGTGTTGGTTGATTTTATGCATTAGTTTTTATGATACTTCTTTTATTGGGGAATTGATGAGCTGGGAAATAGCAGTAAATGGTATTACGACGAATATCTCCCATCAGAAGTTTCGAACAGCGGTTCACGTTCATAACTTTTACTACATAAAACATAGGTAATAATATGACATAACAGCTTTATGAGAAGAGCTTTATACCATGCGATAATGCGGAATTAGTTTTATGAGTAATTTTATACTCGGGGAATTTGTTTGAATTCGTCGCACCATTGGGAAAGAGGGAGGATTAATTTACTTTCTCGCGAATGTTGCAAATCTGGCCGTTCGCACCGAATTATTCGGGATCTTCGGAAGGCGGGGGGTGGGGGGGCGGAGAAGGCAGGAGGATGGAAGGGCGGGGAAGCTTTCTCGCCGAGCTAATTAAACGGCCAGTCGTCCTCCCCCTCCTTCTCGTCCCGCCTTCCTCGTCTCCGTGTTTGCTTCTCGACCCGCCGGCGCCACCCTCTGTTTGGCCGTAATTGCGTTTGGCGCGCTCGGTTGGGGCGATCACAATTGCGGTGCTGTTGGCTTCGGCCGGAATCTTGTATCTGTGTCTTCCAGCCCCGCCTAGCCCCGCCCCGCCCCGCCCGCCCGCCGCCCCTTCACCACATCTCGATTCCTCGTTTATGCCCTGTCAGCATTACGGTTGTCGGATTTCTATACCCATGCATTCTTAGCGTCTCTTGCACACCCAATGCGGATTGCACGTCAGAGAAGGAGGCTTTCCTCGAAATTGTGAGGCGAAGAAAGGGAGAGTATTTATAGTTTTTTCTACGAGATTCCTTAATTATATATGTTATTTACATTTTCATTCGTGTTTCCGCGATGTTAGGACTGA